GGGCAACCACACAGCCCAAATGGAGAAAGTAATAGGGCGCCCTGGACCCCACCGATCACCCTGCACGGAGGATCCCTCCCGCGGAGTACAAGGAGGGGAGGAGAGCTGCCGGACAGCCCGGTACACTTGTAATGTAGAAGAGTCCAGCTCTGCGATCTCCCTCCTTGTGCCTCGCCTGCAGCTCCCGATACAGCCCTGACACTTCCACTTCTGAGAGACAGCAGTGGCGGCCAATCAGGCGGGTGGGCTGGATAAATGACCCTGGCGGGCCGTATCTGGCCCGCGGGCCGTAGTTTGAGAACCCCTGGTCTATATGAAGCAGTCCTGAATTCTAGCCATAACACATCAGAGTATGAGAAATATTAACTCATGACTCTCATATATCATGTGTGTGACTATGCACTCTTTCTATCATTGACTATTCAAGCCTGGGCAATTATTTTCCAGTAAGTGTAGATAATACCTCATGGCTGTTTAGCGGTATTTTCTCCCAATACAAAGTCATAGCAGAACTGCCAGTTCTCAGAAGAGACTGCTTGTTGCTGCTTTACCTAAATTAGGCTTCTAATCCTAATACATACTCACAGTCTGTATAGTGATTCATTCAGAAACATAGGGGTGGACCCTCCAAGAATTGGCAATTCCTAGTATTTCACCTGACGAACATGCATACCTCCCGAGAAAGCTGAATATTTTCTCTTTCAGAACCACTGGTGGTTGTCAGAAGCCAATTCTGAATCTTCTTGAACATATCCTCAGGTATCACCCTTAACAGAAGCAAGTGAGATACCAAATTAAGACAATCAGGTCAACTCTCACTTTTTCGTCCAAAGATTTCTACCTTCAAAAATAATATTCAAAACGGGCTTTAAAAAACCCCAGTTCTGTGCCAAGCAGCAAAAACCACACAGGCTTTAACCTGAAGTTATAATCTCTAAGGAACAAATACATGTAAAATCCAATTTTGAGAGCAGAAGGATGGAAATGAGAAAGTGCTTGACAACAATCTTTTCCTTGCTATCTATATCAATTTATTTGGATTGTTTCTTTATGATAAAAATGCAGAGTAATTTTTTTCTTTGCAATGACAACTGCTGACTTCACAAATAATCTTCCAATTGTCACTGCTAATATGCATATTATCAGAATATAAATTATTCTTCTTGTTTCCAGCAATCCCTCCTTATACCACTCAACTACTTTGTCCCAGATCAGCTGATATTCAGGCAAAAAAAACAAACAAACCCTTGAGCTCCTTTCTTCTCACTATAAACAGTAACTGATGGGTCAGTGGAATCCTCTTCTTATAATGGGTCTCATCTGATCACTCTCTCAAGTTAAATATGCAGTAGAAAAAGGAGATAATGGGATAATGGAAAGCTGAATAGTGTCCATACCACTTCAGACTACAAGGGGACAGTATTTTATTTTAATGTTCCTCCACTTAAAAATGAACACTCTGGTAATAAAAAAACTAAGTCATCAAGTAGAGATGTTCTACTTTGGCTATGTTATATTTTATTATTGATTGATTTAGAAGATCTCATAGCCCTACCATGAGATGGAGAAAGGCACCATCTTGTTCTCTGAGTAGCAAAATGTCTCGACTCTTCGTTATTTGCAAAGTAGATTTAACAAGGGGCAACATTTTTTAAAAAGTAGCTACCTTCCAGTAGCCTGAAGTGTCGTAATATATTCTAGCTTCTCATTCTCATCTGTGCATATTAGACAACTTGGATACAAACAATAATTATTTCACCTAAACTGTATTGTGATCAGTAATAATTGGTCTATTGGACTAGAAGTACAGGTAGTCCTCATTTAGCGACTGCCTCATTTAGTGACCATTCAGTTACAATGGTGATGAAAAGTAACTTTACAATTAATCCTCACATTTATGACCTTTGCAGGTCTGTAAAGCAAAGGAAAGCTGAAATAAGATCATAAGCACAGTTGTGGTTTCACTTAGCAACCACTTCGCTTAATGACTGAATTGCTGGTCATAATTGCGGTCGCTAATTCTGTAAAATGAGACAGCTCTGCTAGGACAATGTTGCTTTTTTTTTTTTTTTTAGCAGCCCTTGCTAGATTAAACATTCCATTCAAATTTATTTGTTTGCATTTATTTGAATGTCTTGAAACCCATATGGCATTTTCAACTGATTATAAAGGAAAATCTCCATAATTTGAACTTAATTACATACATATAAACATATACTGCTAACAACTCACAGACATCTAAATTTCAGTTTAACATTCAATATAATTAGATTCAGTGAAGCATCTTGAAAACTCAAAACTAACAAGCGTGAATAAAAAAGTATGATTTAGCCCATTCCAAACTGTAACAAGAAAGGACAGAGCGCCTCAGCTCTGATAGCAAGTTGTTCCATAGTATAGACCCATCACAGAAAAACCAGAATTATCTGTTGAAGTTAAACTATATGTGGTTAGACTTGCAAAGGGTGTCCCATTTAAGAACTCTGTGTGTGTGTGTGTGTGTGTGTGTGTGTGTGTGTGTGCGCGCGTGTGTGCACGTGCTGAGTCTGTGGGAGTAGGAGCTGGCAAGTAATCTGAGGTTAAGTCATGAAAGACATTATACACCATAGTTACCACCTTGAACTGGGCCCAGAAAGAAACTAGTAACCAGTGCTGCTATTTCAGCAAAGAGGTGATGTGGCTCTAGAATCAGCACTCACTGCTTATCACTTATATTGCCACTGCATTTCAGCTGCAATTTCTGGAACATTTTCAAGGGCTGCCTGACAAAGAATAAATTGCAATAATCTCAGCATGAGGTTATTCATCAAAATAATACATTGATCCAGTTACAAGAGTGCTCTAGGAGAAGAAAAACAAACGACTCTGAAAATGATTGTAGCTTACGGGGAAGGGATCAATGTTCTAAGCTTTCGTTCCTGTAGAGTCTCACAGGTACCAGTGACTTTCTGCAGATCATCCAACTGGACCAGCCAATCAGAAACAGAATGGAAAAATTTTATCCAGTCAGCTTCATACAATCCCACCTTCTGCTTGCTGGCTAACAACTTGAATGTCCATTCTTCCAAACTGTTCACTAAAGTGATTACAATTTTGGCAGATCCTGGAGAAAACAGGAATACATAACTATAAAACAAGAAAATACAAAACGAGAAATGGAGCAGGACAAAAGCAATCAGCAAATAAAAAATAAGCCTGGGATAAGTAGATTTTGTCTCTCATACCAGCCAGATTCATATATTTTATAATATTTATAAACTTCAGTTTTATAGATAGTTATGCTCTTTCGGCCACATGAAGCCAATGACAAAAAAGGCATGAAAAGGCACGCTGTTATCAATAATTAGCTTTTTCTGGGGGGTACTTTTTCACACAAACAATGGATGTGAGCTAACACTCAAACCCTTGTTTTCCATAAAGACCTGCTGCCAACATCCATTGCCACGAATGTTTTTTATTCACATGGCCTTGGGTCTGTTTTTTGGCAGCTAGGGATCGGGGGAGATATATTGCTCAGCCACGTCAAATTTCTGCCAGTACCTGAACCTAATGCTAAGCCATTCTTCAGTAACCATAACTCATGAAATATATCAGTGTGTAGTTCTGTACATTTGCTGTTGTTCAGTCGTTAAGTCGTGTCCGACTCTTCGTGACCCCATGAACCATATTGCGCCAGGCCTTCCTGTCCTTCACTGCCTCCCTGAGTTTACTCCCTGAGTAATGTGAGTTTCTGCACATTACACCAATCCATAAACTATGGATGTTTATACAACACAACGGCTGGTTCGCACAAAGCACTCAACTAAAACTAGACAATGGTCTATGACATGTAAAACCATTTGAGTAATTCATACATTGTATGAATTACTGAAATGGTTTTACACGTCAGTTGTGTTGTAAATTTGTGTTTAGATTTAGTTTAAATAAATCCTCATTTGTGTAACATATTGATCTCCAACAAAGTCTTTAAAAAAATATTGACCATTTCTTACCATTTTCCCCATTAATTCTTGTACGGTACTGTTCACTGAGATGGTTGCAGTCTTTATTGACTTCTTCCAGCATTTTCAACTCAGGTGGCATCTTGCCATAGAGATCTTTGTGACGGCCATGCAGAGCAACTCCCAGATCAACCCACTGCTTCTGCAATTTGATAGCTATCTTGAGGGGCTCTTGTCTCAACAGAAGCACATCTCCCCCATACTGTGCCAACTCATCATTTAACATCTGAAAGAAAAAGCAATAAATGTGTTTGTTCCTGAAATATTTCCCACAAAAAGACACTACAGCTTTCTCCTTCCCTAAGAGCTGATAATCTTAGGACCAAATATTAGCTATAATATGGTAGACTTTTAGCTGTATGGTTGTCCTGTGAATGACCTGTATTTTTTAATTAATAACTGGAAGAGAGGCTGCTTAGACAAGCTAGCTCTTCCTATTTACTCTTGCAAGCTGTGAGATAACAAACTTTCTGCTCTAACCCCAATTAGATAATTATTTCCCTCCTTTGTTGCAGGAGGCACTCAATACCTGCTAAATACTTAATCCGTGTAACCTTCCCTTGCTGATGCTCAGAACTAAGCAACTCCAGGAGTGGAGGGGGAGAGAGAGGTTGAAGGGCTATAAAACTTGACCAACAAAAGTACAGTAGCTCCTTTCTGAGTTGAATTCCAGAGATCATCCTCACTGCTCAGGCTCACTGCAGCTGATTGAGGAAGGACCCCTGGCACTGTAAGTAATTAAAATGGGGACAATTCTAATAAACATGATTCTGTTTATTTCAGTCCTGGTGCCTCCTCTAGAGTCCTTCTGCTTCAGCATCTGTCCTGCAAATTCTAAATTAGCCAGCAACGCAAGAATTTCTGAAAGTAATGGTATGTTTGACCAAATAGTTTTGTTAGCCACTAGCAATGTATTCTATTGAAAATGCATTACTTATGGGACTTTCTACGAGTATTTTGTCTAGTCAGAGTTGGAGCCAGGTGAAAACTAATGTGAAACTCCACACTGCACATACTGATACTCAAGTCCTTAGTAAATGCAACCAGTTCTCTTCCTTCTCTTGGTTTATCCTTTATCCTCAGATCACAATATGCTAAGTATAACTATTAACTTACTAACAGTGTCATCTATTCCTAACTGCATTTGCGTTCTCTGGGGATGGATTCAATTCTCTTCCACTGAGCTTCTAGACAACCAGTTAAAAGCATCCCCTATGATAATAGTTTTCACCCATGTGGAGAAGATACTGTTGAATCTTTCATCCATGTCTTCTTGTATCTCTGATTATTAAGGGTTGTGAGACACAAAATCATTGCTTCTTTATTAATCAAGTACCCTCAAAAACATCTGAATGGTACTTGACAGCAATAAAGCAATAACAAGAATGCAGATAGGATGGTTCCTGTCACTACATTTTTGGTAGCTGTGACATTCGGTTGTGGCTAACTGGACAAATCTGTTTACTGTCCTATTCTGTGTGTATATATACACACAAATATGCATAGTTTTACCTGAATCTTGGTTTTATTCCTTATATTTGACTTCCTAAATGTTTGATTTTTAGCCTGGCCCTTGATTGTATGTAAATTGCAGTAAGGTTATTATTAATCAGTAGACATTTGAAGGGCATGCTGATCTTAAAAAACAATAACTAGATGTTACAGCTTCTAAATGTTCCAAATCTGGTTGAAGCAGCAGGTAGATGCTTAACCTTTTACACATAGCTCTTTTGTCCAGTAAAACAAATGAGGGAATAAAACATACATGCATCTGGTCACACAATTAGGAAAGAAACTGAGGGGAACCAATTGAACTATTATTTGGAGGAAAAAAAAAAGTTTGAGAGAAGATTTCAGAAAGGCCATTTCCCTTCCCCTTTGTTGACTCACAAAGACTTTTCTCTTAAATTCAGGATCCCTGTGGCTGCACTGAAGCAAGAGAGAAATGTCTCCTAACATTTTACAAGTCATATAATCATAGGCTTGGAAGGGACCATATAGATTAATGAACCAATTATCCTCTCAGTGCAGGAATCCAATTGAAAGCATGCTAGCAGATACTTATCAAGCCTGTTTTTGAAGACATCCAATAAAGGGGAGTTCACCAACTTCTTCAGTAATGGATTCTCCTATCACACTGCTGTTACTGTTAAGATGTTTTCCTAAACGTCAACAGGAACCTGCCTTTTTAAACTTAAAAACAACCTGCTCTCTGGGACAACGCAAAGCAAGTCATGGCATTGCCTTCTTCTCTGTGGCACCCTTTTGGGGTTTTGCTATCATATCTACTCTTCCCAAACTCTTCTCAGAACTAAACTTATCCAGTTCCAAAATTTCCAGTTCCTGATTTTCTTTCTTGCCTTTCTCCATATCCTTTCTACTTTAATTTTTCTTGAAGTATAAAGCCCAGAAATGAACACAATACTGAAGGTAGGATTTAAACAGTGCAAAATGGAGCAGAACATTACTTCCTGTGATTTGGAAACTATACATCTAATGTATAATTACTCTTTTTGTAGCTATGTCACATTACTGCCTCATATACAGCTTGCAATCAACTATAACTCTAAGATTCTTTTCACACAAATTATTGAGTTTCCCCATCTCATCCGGTTCTTCTTGACTTGTGTGAATAACCAAAAGAACCTGACAGTGTTAAACATAGGCCTGATCAGAGATAGAACAGGAGATCACTGAAAATCCCACGTAAGTAACTTTGACCTAAGGAGGACTAACATTTAAATGTGATAAATAAAATAATATATGATTGCAGTACTTAACTCTGAACAGCTGCCATCTGGACCTGCTGTCTATAAGCAGCAAAGTATACAACCTGCTTAAGGGAAGGTCTATAAATAAATGTTACATAATAAATATTAATTTACAGTATTCACTGTGAATGAAGGAGGAAAACCCTTACTTTTTCCCAAACCTTGAGATCCACAAGGACTTGTTCCAACAAAGTAGCTCCCTTTTCAAAAGTATAAGTTCCTTTTCCACTGGAAAAGCAAAAAGGGAAAGTTGGATATGTATAACAAAAAAATTAAAACCACTCTGAATTGTCTCTAAACCTTTAAGCATGTCATGCAGTCTGTAGTGTGTTTGCATAATTCACTTCCCAGTAGTTAACTGAATAATGATTTATTTAATTACAGGTAGTCCTCATTTAGCAACTGCCTCGTTTAGCAATCATTCAGTTATAGCAGTGATGAAAAGGTAACGTTACAACCAATCCTTGCATTTATGACCTTCGCAGGTCTGTAAAGCATAGGAAAGCTAAAGTAAGATCATAAGCACAGTCACAGTTTCACTTAGAGATCACTTCACTTAATGGCCGAGTTGCTGGTCCCAATTGTGGTTGCTAAACAAGAACTACAGGTAGTCCTCACTTAACGACCATTTGTTTAGCAACCATTCAAAGTTATGACAGTGCTAAAAAGTGCCTTATGAACAGTGCCCGAAGTCACAACTGTCACAGCATCCCTGCAGTCATATGATCACGATCAGGGCACTTGGCAACCAGCTCACACTTACAACAATTGCAGCATCCCAGGGTCACGTGATTGCCATTTGTGATCTTCCCTGCTGGCTTCTGGGAAGCAAAATCAATGAGAAACCATGTGATTCACTTAACAACTGTGTGATTCACTTTATTACCACAGTGATTTGCTTAACAACCACCGCAAAAAAAGGTCGTAAAATCAGGTCCAATCACGTGATGATTCGTTTAACAACTACATTGCTTACCAATCTAAATTCCAGTCCCAATTGTGGTTGTTAAGCGAGGACTACCAATACCTGTATTCCAATTTTCTGGATTTGCACAATATCCAGGTTGGTTTCACACAAAATGCTAGGCTAAAGTACAGTTGGCTAATTTATGGTTCAAGGTGTTATGCCATGCACAATTCAAAGTGTTGGTTTTAACTTTAAAGTCCTATGCTTCTTGGCTTATGCAGGAATGTCTCTTCTAGGTAAAACTAACCTGTCCAGAATGCTCACCCCAGATGAGGATGCCAAGTATCCCCAAGTATAAGATAAAAGATCCATGGGGTCCCGGAGGGAGCATTTTTTGGGGGGATGGCCCCTACTTTTTGAAATAGCTTCTCCTAGTTGGTCCGGCACCAACTCTCATGGTACAGCAGTCAGAACAGAATTACTGCATAGGGCTTTTGAAAGTTAACATTGCTCAATGCTGGGTTGATGCCACTGGATATTTGTGATGGTTCTTGTTATTTATTTTAATTATTTATGCTATTATTTTGTTTACGGATTTTGTTACATTTCTGTTTTTAGTGTTTTGCTATTGAAAACCTCTGTGAGTTACAGGATTCAGAAGCATACAAACAAACAAAGGAGCACTTCTCAAAACTCACAAAACATGATTATGGAAGTAATGGAGCCAACCCGCCAAACCATTCTGAATGCTTCTTATCCTTTCTTTTGTAGTTTCTTCAACTTGCTCCACCTGTACATCAATATTCCTCCAAAGCTCCCGGAATTCCTGTGTAAAATGCTGTAGACTAGAAAGATCAGTAGTATCCTAAGTGCATTGGAAGAAACGAAGAGAAAGAAACCTATGAGGAAATCATATTGTTAAGCCATAAAAATTAAAGCAATCATTTAAAAAGCCATCACTACAATGTACATCTACATTGTGAGCAGATTATTTATTTATGTATTATTGATCTGATTTGATGCCATCCAACTCCAAAGCAACTTCGAAGTCTTCATAACCACAGTACATCCCACTAAAATCCTGGAGCTAAATAAGATACCTTGATTTTTGGTCCATAATAGCTCAAATACGGACAAATAGTAGTAAGCATTGTCACCAGTCTGCAGTTTCTAGAAATTTTGCCATTTTATTTTATAATCTATCTATGCAATACATGAATGATGACATCTTCCAGAGAAAGGGCTGCTTGTGCAAACTAAAAATGAGTGTCAAGAACCAATGTTAATTGGGCTACCCAGCAACTGCAAGAAGACTTTCTAGTCTATAGATATTGCATGCATGGCATATCAAAGTCACAGTAGCGCATTATACTTACTGATATTTATTAATTGTTCAATGTTTAAATAATACTTGATCCATTTATCTACTTTGATATTATGCCAGAAGAGAAGCATCTTGATTGGCTTGCAATGCAGATAATAAAAATATAAACATGTGATTTCATCAAATTTCAAATTTAGCCATTTTTTGGTAGCACAGACAAAAGTGCAAGTTGCTTTCCCCTTTCTAATGTTTGAATTCTCACCAGTTGCTTTCCCCTTTCTAATGTTTGAATTCTCACCAGTTAATACTGTACTTCAGAAAGGTGCTGAATATACAGTACCATTTTCTTCTGATACAATTAACTATTTGGCTTGGAGAGCATAACCACAGTATCACCTCTTAAAGTTGGTACCATCCGTCCACTATCCCATAATCTCATGAGATGGCATTTTAGAGTAAATAAATTGGGATACTCATGACCATCAGAGGTCCAGAGGATTTCACTAAAAGTGAAGAGTGAGGTCCAAAACAATCCTACATGTGTGAAAAATATCTTTTGTTAATAGAGGAAAGGTTTCTTTATAGATTTTAAAAAATCAGATACAAGATCCATCTGGTGCAAAAAACAATATTCAAATCACTGTAATGATTTGCAGTACTCTGCATGCCACTGTTTGTGCAATATCTTGTGGATATGGAGCTGTCCAAAAAACTTATCCTACATGTGAAAGCCTATTTGAATGTTGATGCAAATGTTATGTACAGTATTTACTTACTCAGATTTGTTTGCTGTTCCAATCTGAGCAGCTGTAGAACAAAGGATGCTAATAACCAGAAAGACTTCAGCCTCTTTATATCTGGTTCATCATAAGTTACATCACTTTCCCATATTAATGGGTAATACATATTCAAGTAGCTCTACCTGTGATTCTAATAGCATTACGAAGTGCCTTATCACTTGCACCCAAGCCTTTTCACTGTCATACATTCTGCGAGCTAGGATCAGCTTGTTCTTTTCAACTACCTGAAAATACATATTACAAGATTTTCAAAGAGATTGGAAAAATAAGTATAGATGGAAGTATAATGTCATACACATGCACCCAACAGTATGTTTTTTTTTTAACCAGAAATTCAGAATGGAAGCAAGCAAATATGTAGAAGACAGCAATTCAGTGAAATAGCAACAGTGATTACTCAATTATCAGTAAGACTAACTGAATCAGATCAGTTTAAAATGGGATACTTGGTAAAATTTGGCAGCAAATACTTTAGTACAAAAACTATAAATGGCACATACTCTCTTTGAATGGCACGCTCCCAACTTGCACAGGAATATTCTACCTGTTGTAATCAATGGGGGCAAGCCACCATTTTAAAATTATTTCTGTCCTCTCCACTATCTGCAGACTCAAGATCACTGTTAGGAATGGTGCCAGCAAGGAAAAGCACCTTGAGATTCAGTAGCCGATTGTAATTCTTTTGGCTGCAGTAACCACAATGAAACACTTCCTATCAGTGAGACATCATGTTATATTTGAATGTTTTCACGTTCAATTCAACACATTTTTGGACTTGTACAGTTTTTGTCTAGACTAGGTTCTGCCTTTTCTCTTTGGGACCTGGTATATTTATGTCAGGATTTCATACACAAGATTAACTCTTTTCTATAAAATAAACCTTATCATTGGACTAATCAATTAGCTAACACAAGTCATAAAACTTTATCATAGCACTGCTCATGAAAGATTAAAGGTAAAACGTCAAGAGTAGTAGAATGTATCTTTCTAACACTCCATGAATAGTGTTCTGATTTCAGATGTGAACGATGACCTGTAAATCAAATAATAAAATATTTCCCCTCTTTCCTCTCCCCAATAGGACATTTTGTATGAGAAATAACAAACTTTTCTTCTTTCTGTTGCAGATACTGCATTAATGCTATTTGCAATGTACCACAGCTCCAGAGAAACAGATTGGGATCAGAGTTTCATGAAGGCTCAGTTTCAGAATGGAGCAAGTTCAAACTCATCTGCTCTAATGTGGCTAAACGAAAATCTGTTCTGAATTATACACTCAGACTTGGAATTACGGCTTCAGTCAAATCTGCTGTGTCCTTCCAATCTGCATTGGTTATTCAATTGTCTTCCATGCCACTTGGAAAGGCACAGGAACTTGTTAGAACAGAATGGATAGCAAGCCCATTCATACAGCTTTATTTTCAGAACCTACTCCATCTCTGATACTTTTCAGTAAAGTTTCACTTTGTTATAGTTGTCATTTTCTTGGAAAGCATCAACACACATGCACCCAAAGAAGTATTCTTCACTCCCAATTGGGTACTGGTGCTTGAAATAACAGACCCATTTATCTAGCTTCATGTAATGATTCTAGCTGCCTTTTGAATCCACATATTTCATTTGGGATTGATTCGTCTTTCTCATCTCACAAATTACACAATAATATTATTCAGTCTCAATTCCAAAGTAATTATATGTTCTTTGCCTGTTCTCATTAATTACAAATTAGTATCAGTCAGTCCCCATGTCAAACCTTTTGTTCTATCATGTCTTATGCTGAAGACAGAAAAATTAGGGACAGAAGAAGAAATTACAAAATATCTTGGGTAACTGTAGCATATATAGTTTGGCTGTAGACTCAGATGACAAAATATTTCTTTTGCAGTGGGCAACCAAAGGCCCACTAAACCTCCAAAGAAAAGAAAGGAAAAATACTGAACTCTTCTGAGGTTTCTGCTACTTGAGCTATCACACGAGTTCTGCAGTCAGATCAACCTCTGCTCTAAGGTGAAAGCATTGGAGACAAGAGTGGATATAGCTTTCTAGAGTGGGACAAAAACCTACTGGACTTACCTTATCAACCAGCCAATCAAACAATCAGCTGCCCACCTATGCCATTCTTTCAAAATCCCCAGAAGTAAAAAATATCTATTTTATTTATAGAACTGTAAGAAATCTTTGCCGGTAGACCATTTTTGATGCACAACATTATCTTTTTCTAGGTCTTCTCCCCCCCACCCCCCACCCCCCGCCCTCAGAAAAGTTTGTTCACTCAAGGTGGGAATGGAGAGCATCACATATAACCCACAATGTTATAAACACTAAAAATACTTGCCTGTGAAATTTAATCACAGGACATATTCAAGCAATAATAGAAGGCTAACTAGATGAAAACTTCACTTCCCCCAAAAAACTCTGTTTGTTGTGAAGAAAATGTGATTCCCTCCATCTTTGCACCTAACATTAGCAAATAATTTTGCATTACTGTATGCTCAAAAACTGCACATACTTTGCATAAGACAATAGTTTTGAAAGTTCCTTTGTAATGTTGATTAAAGTACTATGTGTATATATAGCTAAGACCTTAAGGGAAGGTTTGCTGATAGATTAAAATAATAGCAATTAATGTTTACATTTTAGTTAAAGAAAGATCTGCAGCTATAAAGATTTAAAAATAGTTACCTTTAAGTATATACTGAAATGTAATGTGTCACTCTTTATCCCATATTGTAAGGTGGGAATAATTAGTGATCTACATCACCAGTTGTTCTGAGGGTAAACGAAATACACATTTATAACTCATTTTATGTAGTCAGAGATTATCAGAAATGAAAAAAGAATAAATGAGAAAACAATAAAACTACTAATCAGATTTCAAGAATTTGCAGGCAAAAATACTATACGGGAATTATATTAAATTATATTAAATATTACTGTACATTATCAAATGCTAGCATGCTTTCTATCTCTTTCAGGAGATACCTTTAGGGCTATATCATATGTAGCACTGCTCCACAGTTCTTTTTCTAGGGTTAACTGGTGAATCTGAGCCTCCAGTCTTGCTCTCTGCAATTCGTACAGCTCACGATATTCATCTAAAAGACTAAAAGGACATGTGAAGGTGATATAAAAGACACTCCACAATTCACCTTATTAATGCATTATTATTTATAGGATATTCAAAACAATTATTTTTGGTAATCTAATCATAATTAATAACAATTTATTAAACTTGCATGCTGCCCCACTCTTAATGACTCTGGGTGGCTCACAATAATCCAAACAAAGAAATTACAATAAAACTAATAAAAGGAAATAAGTTTAAAGATAAAAGACAGCAAGAATGACAGACTAGATTTAAAGCCGGATGAGATCATAAAGTAAAAGACACCAACTATGAATATAATCAAAATCATTATTTGCTATATTCACAACATGAGTTTTAGCCAGATTTTGTCTACTGAGAATTCTGGAAGTATCAATGAGTCAATGGACATCCAAGGAAAGGTTGCATTTCCTTTAACAAATCAGAACCAGGAAAAGTCTGAAGATTGAAACAACAAGAGATCCATTGGCCAACTGCATCTTTTACCCTCATTGCATTACAAAAAGAAAACAAGCATTTCTAACCCTTTCCCAAGAACTGACTGTTAACTTCAGAATCCTTAGTGTTAATCTTGGAAGTGGAGCCTTGAAACCAAGAGGGGCCCACTGAAGAAGTGTGGGAGCAGCTTATAACCTTCCAAAGTCAGATTTTTTATTGCTCTTGCACAACTAACTTACACAGATTTCTGAGTGCTTTCCTAATTATATTATCCCACTCTTCACTCAGAAGCAACACCTCAGAAATGCTGTTCCTCAGTCTCAAATTCTATGATGCTTAACATTATTTCCTTCAACATAATCAGAGACTCACTTTGCATTCATCTCAGACTCCTGCACTGCTTTTGCTAGCTCCTCATAGGCTTTTTCTGCTTCAAAGGTTGTTCTGTGGTCATGTTCTCGAATAGTATTTAGTTCCCTGTAGTAGAACAGAACAATATATTCAGAGGCTTTCAACAATCACAGTTTTTATTCACAAAGTTAAATAGAAACGCTGATCAAGATCTAGACCTTGTCAGCTGTCCTATAGCTTCCTTGAAATGGAATAATTCATCTGTAATGTGTTTGTCCATTACTCTCTGTGCCATCATTTCTTTGTAGAGATTCCTCATCTGTCTGGGAATTCGTTCTAGCAATCCAACATATCTTTGTCTGTAACAGAGAAACAAGAAAAAGGGGAAAAAAGACTTACTTTTCTTGAACATATTTGCATATCATTTAAAGGGAGATTTATTTCTACAAAGACTGGGAAACTATAATGAAGAACGAACATTTGCACATAAAACTAATCAGAACTAGGTCATTAAAAAAAATCAAGAGAGGTATATATGTTACAATGGAACTCGTTTATCTGTTATGACATCCCTCCCCATTAGAATCCTAGAAAGGATACTGCTGGAGGCTTTATCCATTTCACACAATATGCCCTATCTCACACACTATAGAATCAATCCCACTGTACTACTCAAAATAGTTATAAAGGTGTCATATTTGACTATGAATAATTTTAATATCTTGGATTATATGCTTCCATACCTAAGTTTAGACAGGAGTTCTCCTCGTTCTGCACAATCCACACTGACTTGTCGAATGATTTCATGAAACACAATATTGTAGATGTTCTGTTCCACCTTCAGCACCTCCAGGGCACTGTGCATCTTGGGAAAGATATGTGGAAAATGCTAAGATTTTTGAAAAACTAGGTATAAAATGGTGATCTAGCCTTTAGATGGATTAGGAGAAAGAAAATAAAAACTTTGAAAGGTCACTGAACAAATGGTCATAAGTCGAGG